AGAAAAACTAAACCCAAGAGGGTTCTAGCCTCAAGGTGAATAGTGTAAGAAATTAAAATCTAACTACAAAATAAATTATAAAATAAATTACAAAAAGAAAATAAATCTACTTTAAATGCAAGAAAATAAATCTATTCTATAAGCATGAAATAAATCTAAGGCAAGAGGGTTCTAGCCTCTTGGCTATTTAACAAGAAAATAAAATCTAAACTACAAGCATAGAAATAAATCTACACTAATAAGCAATAAAAAGGAAATAAAAGAGAAAAAGGAAAGAAAATGCAAACCTCTAAATAATTCTTCATCTCCATCTTCATCATCCAACAAAGAGAAGAAATATTTAAAGTGGTGAAAAAATTATTATTATTAATTGCAACTAAAGTTACAATTTTGGAAGGCCTTCTCAATTAAGAGTAGCCCTCCTCTCCAAAAGGAGTTACAAAAATTTTCACCCCCTTAACCCCTCACTCTCTAACCCTATTTATAGTAATCTTCAATGAATACGAGCCATTGGATTTGTCTTGAGCCCCAAGCAATAATCTCCACCTTTGAATTTGCTTTTTGTTCTTCTCTAACATAGGAGGCCCATATGATTTATTTGATTTTCAAAAGAAAATCAAAATCCAATTCTTGAGCCCATTTAAAACCGAATTCCATTATTTGAGCATCATCCAAATCTTGAGCAGCCCATTGCAGCAATCAAGTTTTTGGCCCATGAAGAGTTCATTTGATTTTCAAAATGAAGATTAAATCTCCAGCCTATAGCAAGTCCGGTCTATGCACCCATTAATTCTCTGCAGGAGTTCGGTCCATGAGGTAAAAGTTCATTGATTTTCAAAACCGAAATTGGAGAGCTGCAGCAACCTTTGGCCCATTGAAAAAAAAATCAAATCTCTAAGTCATCAAGTTCGGCCCATGAATTAAAAGCTAATTCTTTGCATCCATCATTCCAAGTCCGGTCCATTAAATTTCGGCCCAATTGCATTTGATTTTCCAAAACAAAGCAACCGGCCCATTGATGTAAGATCCATTTGATTTTCAAAAAGAAAATGAAAAATTCGGCCCATGCATGCTGCAGCTATCCAGGTCTGGTCCTTGAGTTTGTAACTTTAGCAAATAAGTCCAAAAATCAACTCTTCCCTTGGTGTAATCTTTCTTGATGGGCTTGGGCCTTTGGGCTTCCAACTCTTCAATCATTTTCCTTTTGGACTTCTAAATTGCTACAAAAAATAGAGAAGAGAGATTTTGAGGGTTTTTTTTACATTTAATAATATTTATTTATATTTCCATTCAATTATGTGGAAACTAAGCTAACAACAATTATTAATGGTATATTTATTCATGTAAAATATATAATGAGGATATAAAATTATAGTAAAAATATGATTATCACCCATGTGCTTGCCAGCTAGGGCGATATGGGTGCGTCGATTCGCATCAATTGTGAAGTGACGGAACACCTTGCCTTCTGCGCTTGATCCAAACTATTGGTTTGGAATCCCAAAGGCCGCGGCTTCTATAGGCGTCGAATTCAAACCGCCATGGGGATCTGAGCCGCTCGATTCGTTTGAGTCTGTGGATCTCACGCGTCGAACCCCCAGCTATATAATGCCTTCGCCTCTCTCATGACAGAGTTCTCATGCTCACAAGTGTTCATCTAAAGAAAGCTTTTGCAGAGCATTCCTCATTCTGGAAATGGCTTTCGAGACCAAGCCGTGCGTCTCAAATGGGAAGGGGGTTGCTTCCCCCTATGCCATCGCCGGTACCGTTGTGGCGCTGACCGCAACTATCAACCTGACCCAAGGGGCGGCCGCTCCGACCTCACCTTGGTGTACGGCCTTCTTCAAAAGTTGGGGGTCTCCTTGCAACGGACGGCTACCCTCATTAGCTAAGGTAGCGGGAGGTATTATGACATGCTCCCCTTTGTAGATGAGAGTCTTGAGGAGACCCGGCATGTGGGCGGCTCCCATTTCGCCAAGCGATGCAAACGAGAGCTTTATCATTTGGAAGGGCTTATGTATCGTCTAGAGGAGTTGGTGCACACCGATCCCAACGACGAGCCGACGCCCCTTCTGATGAGTGCCCAGCTTCAAAGGGCTCTTGAACGTGAAGCTCGAGAGAAGAGCATCTCGGAGAAGGAGGCCAAGCTTGCACGCCTGCGCAAGCGACACCATGACTTGCTGGCTAGGATGGACGCCTATCATGATGCTTGCTTCTTCTTGGAGGTCGAGTCTGCCCAGGGGGAGAAGGACCTGAAGAAGTGGCAAGAAGAGAACGCCAGGGTTGTCCGCATCGCTACCCAGGAGTCGCAAGCCCTCCAGGGTCTGCGCCAGGAAAAGGAGGATGCTGAGGCTGCCCTCACCAAGCTAGGCGGCGGAGTTTGCGGACGTCAAGGCTAGGATCGCCACCTTCAGCCTGCTGAAGTTAATTTAGGATGTTTCCTTCTCTTTTTTTGTTTGGCTGTAATTTGCTGATGTTTGTTATGGTTTGTCCAAAGCATGTTGCTCAAAATTCAGTCGGGAATGGCTTTTTATGCTTATGGTTACTTCTTGTCTTGCATGTGTAGCCTTTCTTTATTTTCTGTGTTGACCTATACTTAGGACTTTTAGAAAATCCTTGGCAGTTAGTGAATCTGACTTGCCTTTACCGACTGCTTGTTTGAGTCGGGCTAGTCATACTATTTTCCTCCGTATGGTGAGTTGTTAAGGAGTTTCTCTTAGGCTGCTCACCCTCGGTTGCTCGACGTTTAAGGTTGGGTTAACTCCGACCGTCACGTTGTAGTTTAGGCGGGGTCGGGTTATTAAATGTTAACAATTTAGCCCAGCCAGAGTGGTCACTTGTGTGTGCGTGATCTGGTTAGGGTTCCAACAACGACTCGTTGTTTGGCAAGTCGCTGTTTGGGGGCTGATGGAGCACATCATCTGGTAGGCCGCCCTCAATGAACATCGTTATTTGAGGGAATGATGGTGCCAAGATAATCGAATCGCTCAGGGACGTAGGAGTGTGATGATTGGTTGTTGTAGGAGCCATCACATGGTGTGCTGCTACCCATCGATTGTTCTAAGAAAATATTAGAATGTTCGGAATAGGTCAGGTTATTTAGGGATGTATGAGTGTGACGATCGACCGGAGCAGCAACTCGTCGCATGGTAGGTTACTACTTAGGTAGTGTCATTCGTGGGAATGACGGGGCTAGCTACTAGAGGTGATCATTAACATGATAGAATATTATTACGATCGAAGCAACTATGAGGACCTATCATCCTATAGGAGAGGATTGATAAGTTGATATCGTCAGAGGTGTAGATGTTAACATGACGGGGTTTGTTTGTTACGATTTGAGCAACTCTGTGGGCTTACCATCCTATTGGAGAGGATTGATAAGTTGATATTGTCAGAGGTATAGACGTTAACATGACGGGGTTTGTTTGTTATGATTTGAGCAACTCTGTGGGTTTACCATCCTATTGGAGAGGATTGATAAGTTGATATCATTAGAGGTGTAGACGTTAACATGACGGGGTTTGTTTGTTACGATTTGAGCAACTCTGTGGGCTTACTATCCTATTAGAGATGATCGGTAAGTCAATATTGCCATAGGTAATGGTTAACATGACCGTGGGAGTTTGTCCCATCGTCCTGTTGAATGAAACTGACGGAGAAATGACTATCAGAGGTGGAAATTAACTCGATAGTCGGCTTTGGCCCTAACTGTAGGAAGGTTTGACCGACTGGGGGTTTGGGTTATCCCTAAGAATACTACACGTAGCATCTTCTGGGGGTTCCCCGTAAGAAGCAGCTCATACTCATGTATATGTTGGAGTATATGAGGTAGGAATAGTTTAGCCTCGTGTACTAATTAGAGGAAGAAGGAGCAGTTTAGACTCGTGCACTATTAGGAGTTGAAAGGAGTGCATAAAGGACTAAGGGTAGTATTTCTTCAGAAATTTGCCGTTGATAGGCATCATGATCTTATCGCCATTTGGTTTGACGAGGCGATAAGCTCCATTCGAATAGACCGTCTCTATCACAAACAGTCCTTCCCATTTGGGTTGGAATTTGCCCTTCTTCTTGGAATTGAGGATCATTGGTCATCGAATAGCAAGGACTAACTCCCCTTCCTTGAAGGATCAGCGTTTGACTTTCTGGTCGAAAGCTTTGGCCATTCGGGCTTGGTAGAACTCAATGTGCTGTTGAACTTCAAGTCGCTTCTCATCTAGTGCTTTGAGTTCTGCGAGATGCCGCTGACGATTATCCTCAGTCGTCATTCCTACCATGAGGGTGACGCGGAGGGATGGAATCTAAATTTCTAAAGGTAGCATGGCCTTGAAGCCATATACCGGTGAGTAAGGCGTGGTGCTGGTTGGTGTGCGAATTGTTGTGCGATACGCCCATAAGCTTTCGCCAAGCTTCTCGTTCCAGTCGCACTTGCTATTAGAGGTTAGCTTGGTTAGGATCTTGATGATCGTTTTGTTAAAGGTCTCGGCTAAACCGTTTGCTGAGGGATTATAAGCCGTGGAGGAAAGGTTCTGCATTCTGAACTTGTCACAAAACCGAGTGAACGCGTGACTAACGAACTGTATGCCATTATCATGAATGATACGCCTGGGGACACCGTATCAGTATATGACATGATGCTTGATGAATCTGATCATGTCATTGGTCTTAATCTCCCTTAGTGGGACAGCTTCAGCCCATTTGGAGGAATAGTCGGTGATTGCAAGGATGAAGCGGTGACCCCTTGCTAATGGCGGGGATATCGGTCCGACGATATCTATTTCCCATGCCTCGAACGACCATGAGGTTGCTGTCGGATGCAAGTCTTTAGGTGGTCGGTGCATATAATTGGCGTGGATTTGATACGTGTGGTAACGTTTGGCGTAAGCGACTGCATCACTGACCATTCCGGGCCAATAGTAGCATATCCTACGCACACGATCCCAGAGCTTAGGTCCAGGTTGGTGTGCCCCACAAGTGCCATTATGGGCTTCACGTAGAACTTATTGTGCTTTTGTCTTTGAAAGACATCGAAGCAGCGTACCATCATACGACCTACGATACAAGATTTTTGAGGTTGAGTCGTAGTAGAACCTTGCGGCGCGTCGGCGGACAAATTCCCGCTCCCTAGCTTCTTCGAGCACTATGCCATATAAGATGTAGTCAATAATCGGGAAACGCCAATCTTTCGAGTCAAGTTGACCTAAAATATGGTGAGTAACGTTTACTTCCAGAACATCCTCTGGCAGAAAGAGTCGTCGGCTCGCGATAGCAACATGCTGAGTCGTCCCTAGCGGTTGGGCCAGGTTACCTGCTAATGACGCGAGGGCATCTGCGTGCGTATTCTTGGAACGAAGCATGTGCTCAAGGTGGAAGCTTTCGAAAGACTCGACTAGCTTAATAGCTGCCTTATGAAGTGGGATCAGATCGTCATTTCTAACCTCGTATTCCCCCGTCATCTGTCTGACGATGAGCTGGGAGTCACCGTAAGCCTTGAGATGCTTTATCTCTAATTCTCTAGCCAGTTCGAGTCCAATGAGTAGTGCATTATACTTATCCATGTTGTTGATGCATGGCTCTGTTAAAGAGAAGGCCCGGGGCAACACGTGGTTGTTTGATGAGATCAGGACCACCCCCACTCCTGCAATGATAGATTCGTTTGTGCCGACACGAGAGGCACCATCAAAGAATAACTACCAAACCTCCACGGGAGAAGTCATGTTGGCCTCGAGGGGCTCATCTGGTAGGTCTTCAAATAGGTCGGCCCTCGTCTCCAATGGATGACTGACCATTAGGTCGCAGATGGCTTGTCCTTTGATGGACTTCTATGGTATGAAGTGGTTGTCGTATTGAGACAGCAGGAGCGCCCACCTAGCCAGGCACCAATTTAAGGCTCCAGGTTGCATCATGAAGACCCAGATAGGCTTCATCCGGGAGATGACATGAATGGTTTGGCCAACTAGGTAATGTCGCATCTTTTGGACGGCGAATATCAAGGCTAGGCATTCTTTTTCGACCATAAGGTACCATCACTCGGCACCTTGTAGGGTCCTACTCAGGTAGTAGATACCTTGCTCATGGCCAGCGTTATCGTTCTATGCTAAGAGAGCGCTCATAGAATGCTCCATGGCCTGTATGTAGATTAGGAATGGTTTCCTTGAGACTAGAGCTACCAAAACAGGTGGGTTCGAGAGATAAGTTTTAATCTCTTTGAACGCTCGTTGGCAGGGCTCATCCCATACAAAGGAGACACCTTTCTTCATCAGTTTAGAGAAGAGTTGGCACTTACCCGAGAGGTTTGAGATGAACCTTCGGATGTAAGCTAACCATCCCTGGAGGCCCCTTAATTCCTTGAGATTCTGGGATGGCTGAAGCTCTTGGATAGCTCGTACCTTATCAAGTTCGATGCGAATTCCCTTTGTCATGATAACGAATCCAAGGAATTTTCTGCTAGACATTCCTAAGAATGATTTCGTTGGATTCATCTTGAGCTGATGAGATTGCATAAGTTCGAACATCACTCTCAGGTCTTGGAGGTGGTTGTTTTTACTACGATTTTTTACGACCAGATCGTCCACATAGCATTCGAATGTTTTCTGTAGATAGTCTCGAAAGATCATGCTCATGGCATGCTGATAGGTTGCACTGGCATTTTTAAGTCTGAAAGGCATAACTGTGTAGCAGTACACCCCCATCGGAGTCCGGAATGAGGTGTGTTTCTCATCAACAGGGTGCATCTTGATTTGATTATACCCTAAAAATCAATCCATGAAGGACATTCTCTCGAACCCGTATGTGTTATCAATTATGACATCCGTGATGGGCAGAGGAAACTCATCATTTGGACAGGCTGCGTTGAGGTTTCTGAAGTCGATGCAGATGCGGATCTTGCCGTTCTTTTTCAGGATCGGAACAATGTTGGTTACCTAGTTAGGGTGTTGTTCCTCTCTGATGAAGCCGGATTCGATCAGCTTCTTTACTTCCGCTTTGATCACCTCCATGATTTGTGGGCAAAACCATCTCTGTTGTTGTTTGATGGGTTTAGCGTCTGAACTGATGTTGAGGCGATGCATGGCGATCTGAGGATCAAGGCCGGGCATGTCCTTATAATTCCACATGAAGACGTCTATATATTCCCGTATGAGGGATATGAGATCTTCCTTTTCTTGAGGAGGTAAGCTACCATTGATAAATATGGGCTTGGGGTTGGCCTCATCACCCATGTTTATCTGAAGGATTTCATCCTCGGTGGGTGGCTCGCGCTGCTCGAAGCGACTATTCCATTAGGCGTTGATATGATGGTCCCATGCTTCATCATAAAGTAGGATCGAATCGTCTTCTGCCATTTTGGCAGAATCGATCGTAGTCATGTTGACTGTGAGATCTTTGAACAAATCTCCTACACTGATGTCTGAGTCCCATGCCGAGGATGTTGATGACTGATCATCCGAACGTGAGTCGTCGGAGTCTTTGCCGAAGTTACAGAACAACTCTGATGAGGAGGAGGTATAACCAAGCCTCTTCGAGTCTTGCTGAAGTAGTTTGAGGGGCCTTCCTTTAGGCACGTAGGTGGATCGGACGACCGTCTTCCGTCCTTTGCCGTAGTTAAGACCCTCTTGGCGAGTGAAGTTATAGCCCATGTCCCTCATCATGCGCTTCGCCGTTTGACTATATTACAAAAACTGGGGGGCGGGATCCTCTTCTTCAGATTCGTACCACAACGTACGCAAGGGATGATTACAAAGATAATATTCTTCTGGTAATTATCCTGTGCGAGCACGATTAACACAGCCTACGACGACTCGATCATCTGTCTTCTTGTAACATATGATGAACACACATGCAAGTGTAAGGAAGAGTGGTACAATCCTAAAATTGAATCATCGGAATTGTCATCATCATATTTCGGATAAGACGACAGGTAAGCAAAGTCAAACTTTTCATTCAAGATAATCCCGTCTGCCTGATCAGCGTCGGTTGCATCATGACTTTCGTGGCCGATTACAATTGGTTCAAAATCATTCAGGATAAGGCTGTCATCGTATTCGGGTTCGCTATTTGCTTCACTGCCGCTCTCGGGTTCCTCAATCGATGGTTCGTCGAGGTCTTGGTAGAGCAGGGAATCTGTAAAGTAGTTCTCGACTGCCTTGAAGGGTTGTTTGTCGGCAACCATCGTTTTCACCTGATCGTGGTCATCCACGTACTTTAGGCACTGATATACCATGGAGGGGACTATACGGTTGTTGTGGATCCACGGCCGTCCTAATAGCACATTGTAGGAAGGTTCAGCTTCGATGACGTAATAAGTCACCCCCGTCTTCATGTCGCCTATACGACACTTTAGACGTATATTGCCAAGCGGTCGGGTCCCGGTGGCATTAAAACCAAAGATGATTGTGGTCGTCATGGACAGACGCCACTGAGGTACCCCCAGGTGTTTGATAAGCTTCAGGGGGACAATGCTCAGTGCGGATCCTGGGTCAACTTGGATCCGATCCACTTTGGAGGAACCGATGTATCATGTGAAGTATAAGGGTCGATCATGGGATGTGCTTTTGATCAGCATGTCTTCGGGGGTGAATGTGATACAGGGGGTCCACCGTTCAGTGTCTTGATAGCATTGTAAACATTTCCTTCCCGTGTCTTCCTCCCTAGCAGGTGAGAAGTACGTGGCGAAAGCTTCCGAGTTGGCTAGCGCCTCCTACAGAGGAATGTTTTTCAACTGTGCGAGCACGTTGAATCGAAAGGGTTGACTACTCGAGCTTGGTCCTTCGGGATTTGGACAGGCTATTGCATGTGGCCCCGTGGAGGGACTTACCGGGTCTTTTGTCCTTGAATGGTAGTTCTTGGCGAATTCCTTTCCCGCTCTAGTGGCCAAAGTGACAGCCTCTTCGTCAGAGTTGGTGAGGGCTATTACCCCTGCTTTGTCTCCTCTGGGATAGCGAAGATGGCATTGTAAGACTTACCTTTGGTCTTCCTCAAAGATTTTGAAACCGACTTCTCATCACTGAGAAGGTCTGGGTGGACCCACATCACCTCCCCTGATGGCAAGATCTGCGATACTAAGCATTTTCCCTGTTAATTGTGAGGATCGTCATTAGCAATCTTTAGCACTGCTTTAGGGATAGGAACCAACCCGGCCGGCGCCTGAATTTCCGGGAGGTCTGTTCCAAAACTCAATGTGATCATGTTCGTGGTCACCTTCTTTTGCACTTTCTCCTTCTTTACGACCCATGCATCGTAGAGGGCCTGGAACTTATCTTTGTGGATATAGCATTTGGAGGTATGGTGGCCGAGGAATCTGTGGTATGCACAGTAGCTTAGGTCGCCGGTCTTGTTCGCCTCTTCAGGCTTGGTGACTTTCGGTAGCTTAATCGTGTTGCTCTTGAGAAGAGTGTCGAAGGTTGCTACTATCTGGTCCTCCTTAAAGTCGTATTGCTTAGGAGGGCGCTGCTCATACGACTTAGGCTTCGGCCTTTGGGCCAGTATGGATGCCGAGCGGAGTTAATCGCCATGATCTCCTTTCCTCTTGATCGAGGAGGATTCTTGGGTGCGTTCGGTTCCGCAGCTCCCTTCTTAGGGTGAGGCTCCTCGACCTCCAGCCTTTTGATCATATTCTCCACCTGTTCGCCTTGGCGAACAAGTTCTTTCCAGGTTTGGGTTTCTACCGTGCCAACCTTGGACAGAATGTGAATCGAAATATTATTGCGGCACATCTCGATCAGTGTGGCTTCGGAGACTTGGTCTCAGCAACAAACTGACCGATTTCTGAACCTCTTTACGAAGTCGTTGACCGACTCCGACTTCCTTTGCTGTTCAGCGAGGAGGGTGGCCATCAACACCTCTGTGTCATCATCGAAGAAGCGGGCCAAGAAGAGTCTTTCCGCGTCGGCCCATGATGTAAATAGAGCCTGATTCCAACTTGTGGAACCATTCAAACGCTACTCCTTTGAGGGTGCTAATGAACAACCGAGTGAGGATGACATCGTTCCATGCGAGGAATTTAGTTTGAGACATAAAGTAGTAGATGTGCTGTGAGGGGGAGCCCTTGCCATCAAACTACACCAAACTGATGAGCTTGAACTTTGCTGGGTAGGGGATCGTGTCCCACTCGATAGGGTACGGTCTAACCACCCCCATCTTGTTCGTGTTTTGCTGGAGCTTCAAGGCATTAAGTTAACTTTGGAACCCATCGAGCCTCTTATCTCGGGCAGTACCCCCAGTACGCGACGTCCCTATCGACGACTTGGAGGAGTGATCCGAATGCGGGTCAATGTTATCCTCCATTTTAGTCGTCTGATTAGGAGTGGGTTCCTATTCCTTGCTTCCTACCGGCTTCTGTGGGGTACGCGTAGCTCTTTTCTTCTTCTTCTTCTTCTTGTTTAGAAGTTGTTCCAACATATCCTTTATGGACTCGATGGCGGCTTGATGTTCTTCAAACTTTTTGATAATTGTTTGATCCTCTACGGTTTTTGCCATGTGCACCTTTGCTAGTTCGTCTTGAATTGAGTGCGAGGTTTGGGATGTGGCAGCTGCTGAGCAAGCTTCATCTTCACCGCTC